CAGTTATTGTTAACTGCTGTCTTCTCGTTTTTTCTTTCTTGAACCCTATCCTCACTGTCGATAGAGATATGTTCTTAATGGTAGTACTTGTCAGGGCGCCTCCTTGGATTTTGAAGTTTTTATTTCTTTGATCCCTTTCCAGTTGCTTCACATAGTTGTTTCGTCTTGACCTGTTAGACATAATAAGGTTTGGAATTTGTTGATGAGAGTTATATTGCATTCGTTAATTTTGTTAACGTTTCGAAGGGATGCTGCATCAAACTATTGTAGTATCTGTTGTCCAATTGTCCAGAGCTTTGGTAGTTACATTTTCAACCCCCAGGTGGTTGACTATCTAAAGCGATATCAGCTCCTTTTCCTGTTTTTAGGCTTTTCATGAACCTCCTGAAGATTTATTGAAACAGATGTGATAAATCTGGTTCTCTGTAGTTTGGTCCGGTAAGACCCATAAAACTTCGTGCATGTACTTGTATCAGAAAATGACACCACATATAACCATGTTGTGTAAAGCAAATAGATTTGCCAGTTTCTCACTATTCTTATTCCTTTCTCCCAGTCCATATCGCTACATAATGTCTTCACACCCAGTGTGAATCATCCCAACCTTGGTGTTTAGATATCACATAAGAGTGGTTAGATATTTCCCCGGGCACTTCTCTAGGATAGACCACAACCTCTTATAAAACTGGTCTTTCTAATATTCGCCTACATCATTGCTAGGTTCCTATATGAATTTTTGCTCAGAAGGAACATCGACCTCGTGGGTTCCGAAGAATTTCGGATTTCATCATGAGGTATCATAGCTCTTTTATATAGAAATCCTTCAACTCTCAGAGCGATGTTCAAATGAATTAATTGGTTCATTCTGATTGGCGTATTTTAGTTAAGTTATTATAATGTTTCGAATCATTTGAATTATAGTATGAACTAGGAATCCCTGAATTAACGCAATTGAATCAAGAACTACGACACAAGCACAAACGAATGTATTGTATTTAGAATTTGAAATTGTGCAATCAACAAGTACAAGGATATCATTAGTCAATTCAAAAACCACAGTTATTTTTTATGAAGTGAAGTTGCCAACCCAACGCTCAACCCTCCTCTTTTACATAAGACTTAGACCGACAGTTACTCCAAAACTCTCTAGTCTAAGTTACGAAAATAATCCATAATTAGTTTATTCACTCATTTTCACCCATTATGTTAGCATAAAAAATCAATTAAATTGATGATCAAGGCATGCATAAATAGTGACAAAAATCAATTACTAATTAAACTGATTTTATAGTTGCAGAACAGGTGAATGTCAATCTACTAACTCTTATTTTCCTAGATATAAGTAATTACTTAGCAATAGAATATAAAGATGTTTCAGCTTAGAAGCAGAGAAAAAAATATTATTTTCTGACAGTAACAGTTTTTACTTTTTCTGTATTTCATGTTTATATTTATATGATATAATAAACTTTGGCATATTAACAATAATTAAGAACCGTATTATTCTTATAGTCATCTACTCCACAGTTGCATCAAATAAATATGTCTAAGGAAGCTAATCTTCATAAGCAGAATCCTGGATTCAGTTCATCAGAATGTTACAGTCCATCTTTAGGTAGTGACACTGCATCATTAACGGAGAAAAAACTTAACTCCTCATATACAGATTTGACACGTGGTAAAATACCTATAACACACCAAAAACATTTGGATTCTGAAGCTGGAAGCCGCACAAATCTAAGTGTAGCCAGTGGGGTAAGTAAACAGTTCATATTTGACCAATAATATTTAATGTATTAGAAGTATTAAAACTTTTAGTCAGTTTTTCGACCGAAAAGAAATTATGAGTTACCATCTGTTGAAATTGACTTTACAAGCAAATTTGTACCTCTCGTCTAGTGGTTATCTTTTATATTCTTGTACCATTTTGCTTATTACATTATCTCCCCATAGCAGTCCAAGCTAATAGTTAATTCTTTTTCCGTTAGCACTTTCATATGACACAAATTTTTATCGGACCATCGAAACTATATTCTGATTTCCAGTAAACCATATGTCTTGATTCTTTCTTACATTATTTATTATAAAAAAAGACATTTAATGAATATTCCCCATTTATAGCTGTGAAGAGAGGCTTAGTTATTACTGATCATATCAAAACTTTGTTAGAAGCATTTTCCTTGTACTATACCAGTGAAATCTGCGTGGAGTCTCTCCCAGAGTTGACAACCATCAGTGAGTCACGTCGACGAAAGCACTGCAAACTTTCTCCTTCAAAGCGATGGTTTGGTGATTTGGCAAAATGATAACTCCATGTTCACAGTATGGACGTGTGGTGGCCGGTCATTGTTTCCAACCATGAAAGTATCACGTTTCAAGTCTGCCAATCTCTGTCATTCTGTGGTTATTTCTTATGGCTTTAAGTTCGGGCATTGTTCAATTTTACTCAAAATCCTGATTCTGATATCAGAGCCTTCAGAAGACTGGAGACATCATACAAACACAAACATTTAAATTGATCTTATGTCATTGCTGGTAGTTAAAACCGCTCTCATTCGCAGTTCGCTAAATCTACGTGTTTCACCCAGTCATCATCATCGACTCTTGTTATCTTGAGACACATAAAACGGATATTAAACAAAGATGACTGTTCGGCAAAATTTGAGACAGGGTGTCAGTTGTTGCACAGGAAGAAGAATCTATCGGGTTCTTTAGAAGGATGAAATCACGTTAGTGTTTAACCGTGCCAAGTTTTCCTAGGAGTATTCTGACTTTGGAAGTGTCACCAAGTCTGTTGGCCTACCTTGGACAAGTTTTCTTATTTTTTGAACCAGGATTTGAATGTGATACCACCCAAACCATCATAATGAAATTCATGAGTAGAATTTATGGTGAAATTGGTATGTGAGTTACATGAAACATCAGTCAGTCCTCTGTGATTCAGATTCATTCGCTGCGTTAAGATTTCCTGAATACGAACTTGGAACTATTCATGCCGTTTTTCCTAACGTTAAAGTGAAGATTCTACTTCTTCAAGAATGACTGGCATTATCATTTGTACATCTTGTCGCCAGTGTTACGACCTCTACTTGATTACGGCAGAATACGATGCACAAATATGGCACTCGAATGTGTAAAACCCCATAGTCGCAAATCAGAAGGCAGAAGAAACAGGGTAAGAATCAAAAATGTCCAGAAAAACATGGGTATTTATAGTTATTGGCGATAACATTATCGTTATCCAGTCAATCCTCAAAGAGGCAGATTATGTCATCGTACAATCATAGCATGCAACATTGACATTATAGGAGGCCCTATCAGGTTCTGATTGGATGGGATCACTTTGGCTCCTTAAGAGCCGCTGGAGGCTCCATCGTGCTTTTCGAAGCCATCTCAACAGAATGATTGATAGATCCATCCTACATTTGAAAAGACTGGCAATACCAAACCTTTTATATTTTTATGACATGTCGAAGTGAAGAAAAGTCAAATTCTCTGCAGATTAGATTGGGATTCAAACGGAAATACCGAATACACTATTTGCAGTTATTAAAAGATATTCTATTTCATTCAGGAATTGTACAGGTGATCTGGACATTTGATTTACAACGTATATTACGAATGTATAGTCTGAAAATGGATAATTTATTATAGCTTGCCTTCATCTGAGTCAAATAACTTGACATTTGGAATATTTTATTGATAAATACACATATTTTTGTTGAGGTAATTAGATTTTCCTCATACCAGGTGCCGTTAAAAAATGTACTACATAGGCTTTAGATTTAATCTTGTTATGCTTGTTGAACGTTTAGAAACAGATAATCATCGTAAGAAACGCCTGATTGTAAAACACGGAGATCCAGGGATAAAGTAGCTTGGGCTTCGCAAGATGAATTTTTTACTATCGTTATAAAATGGACGCTTATAAATTATAATATGAGTATCTTAATATATACAAAGTTAAACGTTAGATACGTTTAGATTAAATCCAACGATTATGTAGGATACGCTTTGTTTCATTAATCAACTCAAACAACCCAATTAGAACAGGGTCTATGAAATTAAATAAATTAATTTCATTCCACCACTTTCCCACCAGCTGTATCTTACCTCAATAAAGGAGGTATTACGCATAGTGTAAAAATAAACACACATAAACGTACATGTTTCTTTAGACAGCTTATAAAGATTTTATTAGATATGAAAATAATTCTCATCAAGGACTGCAATGAGTTCTTTTTCACTTGACATTTATCAATTTATTTCATTTCATCCAAAATATTGATGAGTATAAAATATTCCATTTCTTTAATTATGATCTTTTTCAAGCTCATAGGCCTTTAATTATTTAAATCTAATTTAAAAACTGTCTAAACAGTTTGTTTGAGTTACCATCATCATTTGGTTTGTGTTTTATGTATTCATCTATTCTAGGATGATGTGATACTATTACGGCTATTATTATTATTATTATTATTATCAATATTCAAAGTTATGGTTTTCTAGTCTTTTGTTGCTTAATTTGGAAACAATTAAGTTGGATAGCTGGTAGAATCATATCCGGATTCATCTTAAGCCTTCATTCTACTCTCATTTACTAGGTAAACGAAAATGTAAAATGATATGTACAAAACTAAGTAGTTTACATTGAACACTCTGTAATTCCCACATTTTGAACATAGTATTCATTTCTTCTTTTGTTTTACATGTCTTCACTTTATCATCATTGATTTTCAGTTAAAGCTATATTACTGAATGCTGCCGGTTTTTTGTCTGTAATCAAGGTATTTGGCACACGGCTTTATTGGTGGACAGTTTTTACTGTTATATCCATATAGATTTTAGTTAGATATATATCGCTTTCTAAACTTTAAAGTTATAACATGTAGACTGTACTATAATATGTACGTTGTCGCTTTTTAAGTGATTCATTCATTTAAGTAGTTAGTCATCTTCGCTTTTTAATCAACCTACCTATTTAAACTTAAATATGAATGCTTGAACATATCTATTTCATTCATCACATATTATGTTTGGGATCCATAAGAGAATCTATTGAAATTTCTCCTCTTAAAAAGTCTAAAATCAAAGGGCAATATAACTACAAGACTATTCACACCTTGAACTAAAAATATTTAACGTATCACAAAAAGTTAGTAAATTCTCACAACTCTCCACTTTGTGGTATTCGATTTGATAAGTTCACTTCAAAACACTTCACTATGCAAAGTAGTTGTTTGGTCTTTGAAGTTAAATCATCAAAAGTCCCAGAGAAATATGAAAAACTGAATAAATATGAGTCTTGTGTTCGAAAGTTTCTCATAATTTCATGTAGACTTTGTGTAAATCACGAACCTTTTTGTCAAATTCATGATACATGTTATTTAATAATGTATACTGCTATACTCATATGCATATGAATATTTGTCTCTCCAACTTGTATTTTTATTTGAACACAATCTGATGTAGAAAATATATACTACTTTATTCTTAAAACTTGTTTTGACTTGATACAATGAGTAAGCATGTTTTCTTTGACAGGATCTTCTAATATCTGCTTTTTTTCTCATCCAATATGTTTCTTTTTTATCTTTGTAATTTGATAAATCTATTTGTTTATTCAACTTAGTGATCTAGAAAAGTTTTGAAAAAGCTTTTGAGTTTTTTTGCCAATTTTATAGGTTAAGAATCTAATTTAACGAGTAATAGTAATAAATAAAGAGAAAAGCATGGAAAAATACAGTTAAATGGGAAATCCGTATGTCCGTATATAAAAAACTTACAAACAAGTCATCATAATCCCATTTTATTCTTCTTACCATTATAGAAAATACATTAACTCTATCTTTCACGTATAGTTTAATAACACAAAAATGTTGATTTCATTTAGGCTTTTTGCTAAAAACTCGATTCAAGTTGTTTTTAAAAAGTTTCTCTTTATTTATAGTTGTCTTGTTTCTATTCTGTTATCTTCGAAGAACGAATTCACTTCTTCCGAAATGTTTCCCAATGCTCCCAAAAATAAACATGTCCTCTTGTTTATATCAAGAGAGACTTGGAAATTTGACCGAATATTCCTGTGAATTCTCTAAAATTGAGAATATGTTTGAGGAACCATCAGTCAGTCAGTAAAACGCAACATAGAATTTGATAGTTGAGTACATCTTTTCAAGTTTCCATAGCCCATTAATACATGGAGATGAAATTGTTAAGCCAAATCCCGGAGTAGTAGGGATAGTAAGAGTATTAAGTGTAATAAAAAAGACCAAGCACTGAATATATGACGAAAAGAAATATAAATCGAGGAACTAAGAAGAATTTAAGAACTTAGAAGACAAAGAGTAGAAGCACTTACTCTGTGTCATTCAAAATCTCTAACCATTGGTTACTATAATCACACGTATTCCAACTAGATAGTCTACACCAGGGATTTCTCGGAAATAGGAAACTCAAATGCGTATAGCTGACAAGTGGAAATTGTCGAATTCTTCTAAGCTTTCTAGACTTACTACTCATACAGCTAAGAAATACCATTTTAAATCAGGCCACTTAAATTAGTGGACTACATACCAATATACACAGGTGAAGGGAAAGGATCAATCAACAATTGAATTATACTCATGTTGGAAACTCACCTACATGTACATAGTTTTGCTTAAAAAATTACTGGTTTTACATGTCCATCAAGTATAAAACAGTAGTTGAATCGATATGATGTTCGTTTATTAAAATAAGCCAGCTTCATGAATAAAGTCGTTTTAATGGTTCAATGACGAATCGTACTGCTGAATTGTGATGGCAAGAAGGTGTCTCCTTCAAACAACCATCATCTGCAGGGATACTGTAATCCCACAACTAAATAAGGAGATAAGGAAAGGTTGAATCTAAATGTGTCACACTTCCCCTTGCTAAACAGATTTCCATCTCCATCTCTAAGGCCTTAAAAGTACGGAGCTATGCCATTCGAAACCATTCTGAAAAGACTGTATGCGGCTAGCCGGACAAATCCATAGATCATTAAGTATGGTAGTTCAATTTTAGCAGCTAGATTGACCGAGATCTTAGTTAAACTTTGGGAACCAAAAATAATTCTATTTCATTGGTCTTGATCATTGATCTTCCCAGTTTATAAAAAAGAAGAAAAGTTCTCCAGTGACCACCACAGAAGAATTCACTGACTGTTATAGAGTTTAAAACATTAGCTTCTATAACTATTTGACCCTTAACCAGAACTAATAACAGTCAAACCCTAGATGGGCATAACAGGAATCTTAACCAAGATATGACATCTGTCCATGAAACCATTGATTGTACGACTAGGAGTATAGGTAGATAAGGACTATCTTGTTTGGGTCTGTGCTATTGTCGTAACCAGTAGTTGAAGACTGAGTGATATGACTAAGAATCTTCCGGAATAACGCAGATCTATTCATTCTTTGTCCTTTCTTAGACTCCAAACCCCAAAATCTTACTTTCCTTCTTTCTTCTATCCCTGATACCGTTACTACCAGAGTTACTTGATAAAATAGAAAAACTATACTCCAATACTTCATTTTCAAAATGCCAATTGATTATCTCAGATTTCATTGTTCCTGCATTTCCACACCAAATGCTTTCTGTCCCCGTCCTTTCCTCCTCGATCTTCTCAACCTTCTGCTGCTAGACATTCAATTTCTGATTAACGTTATATACTACTTATGTCGACATAAGTAGCACACACCACAATAGTACCAATTGTTTTTATTCATTGTCTGTACCCTTTGTATTTCAGCCTTTATAAAAGTCCTTTCTGAAATCAAATATCACAATGAATTAGAAATGATTTAATGGGATGAAGAATTTTTCTCAAAAGTTAGAAAGCTCAAAAAATTTGGTAATTTATGGTCTAAAGAGGAGGTCTCAGGCTATTAAAAGTCTCTGTAAAGATATCAGGTAAAGACTAAGGCCGTAAGAATTTAAACTAAGTATCAGTGAGATGGTGGAGAAGATTTGTAGCTCAGGTGGATGATTTTGTATTTAAAACACAAAATTGCAGAATGACTGAGTTAATTGGTAGGATGTTTTACTGTTTCATTCGGTTATCAAATGGCTGAGTGATGGGTCTTTAAAATAATTTGGAAATAAAATTATACGAAGTACAATTAGTTTTCATATAAAATCATCTAGCTAGACAAATATTTACCAGTTATATTTTTCGTAAAATCTTTAATAGTTTTACGATGAGTTGCTCATACTTATAACATGAGTTTTGGGAGTTTTTAAACTAATAAATGGCGTAGAAAGTGAATAATATAAATGTGAATGTTAGTGTAATTGTCAGTACTTAGTAATTTTCCTAAACAGGTAATTTTGAAATCTTATCATATATGTCTCATAATTTTCTTGGTTGATCTGTATTTAATTTAAATTAAATGAACAAATAAAAAATGGTTATTTTTCATAAGTTTAGATAAGTTTCATGGTCTAGATCCAATTTAAGTTGAACTGCTTCCAAACTCTCTCAAAGGACACAATAATATAGATAATTAGATGAACTTCATCTAAAAAAGGTTTTCATTTTCCGTTGTATTAGTAAAGTGCAAAGATTGTTTGCATTTTGTTGACATGACTTCTCATTTATCATTTTGAGCATTTTATCGACCTTTTATTTGTTTAACTCATCTTGTCATGCGCTTCTATAATGCCTAAATTTTCTATCTAATTAGTGAATTTATTTCAATGAATCCAGGCCATTAAATTGAAATTATCCCTCTACCTAAGTTTACAAAGATATAAGATTCATCTTTTCACAAAATGATGCACTTGAAGCTCCTGCCTTTTAATCTGTTTTCATTTTCAATGTGTTACGATCATATTCTAATCTTTATTTTATGACTTTCTTTAATCTGCATGTTTTAGGTATATCCTGATAGCATACAAAATCCCACAAAATTTAACTCAGTTAAAGTTGTAAATGTTCAAGACCGACGAAAAAGCAGTTCTCTGAATGAATTCGATATTATTCGTATGTACGATTATGAAGCTAAACCTTTATCAATGATAAATGAAACCGATGCCAGTAAGGCTCGTGCAAAGGGTCTTAATCCAGCACAGAGTTTTAGGTCGCTGTTTCACATCGGGCTAGATAAAAATCATGTAATCAAGAACAGTATTTGATGACCCATTTTCATGTCTGCCTTGTCACACAAGTCGTTTGTGTAAACTAAAATGGAATATATATATACGCCTGTACTGTATACCGTGTGTGTAATACGTTTTCGTTGTATTCATGTGTGCTTTTTTCGGTACGACTTTTAAACTTGGTGGATTTTCAAACAGTTTGTCTTTGCAATTTTTTCAGTGGAGATTTGTTCGATTCTTGTTTGTTGTTTGCTGCAAGGTTGTTTGTGCTTTAAAAATTACTGTTGTTTGTTGAAGTCATAGCTTTTCTTTAACAGAACGAGATTTGATATGTAGGTTGTCTTGACAAATCATCTCTGGAATTTCTTTTACCTACAGTTTTTTCTTTCTGACTGACCTCTGTAGAGAACGCTCAAAAAAAAATTAAGACTGATCAATCATATTTATTGATCTCACTACTAAATTTTATGAAAATTTCGAAAGTAGACCTTATAAGTTTTGTGTGTAGACTGGATAAACTATTTTAATGTTCGATGTATCCATGGTGCATAGCTAATCATATTCATTCTTTAAGCGTGTAGAAAACACTCATAGATATTTCTTTCATTAATTTAATGCTGGAAAAACCTTAGTACAAATTGATTATTCATGGTTCTATGGAAAATTTATTTTTAATTACCATGCTCCGTGATGTGATGCCTGAGGAAAATTACTGTGCGTTGATAATTATAATTTTATAAGAGCACATGATAAACACATTTTATATTGTAAAAACTAATCAAATTGCTAGAGTTTTATTCGTTCTGATTTTTTTGGTAGATACTTTCACCAGTAGTTTGTATTAGTTATTTTACAATATGTCTGAAATGTTTCTGTGTTTAACGTTAGTTTGTTCATAAAACTGTATGTTAATTGTTTTTTTCGTTGTTATGATCACTTTTCTTTGTTTTACAGATGTATTTCAGTTTTACAGATCGAATTACTTTAAAATTTAATGAAAATAAGCCCCTCGGACCATAAGTATTGTGTGATGGGATTCAGCATTAGTGATAATGAGCTACTTGTTTTGATGTGTGGGTGTATGTGTGTAACTGTAATATGTATCATTGCTGTGTGATGGATAGTCTATAGCTCTTATATGTTGTACTGTAAAAAAAATTTTCAAGGAAGTTTACCTTTATGATGGTACTTAATTTGTGTGTATTATCTAGTTTTTATTATAGTTGAATTATTTCTTAAACTCTGAAGCAATATTATTATTTATTTGAATAAAATGATTTTTTAAATATGTATTTCTAAGGGACCAGTACTTGTAGACTAATTACAGTTTAAATCGGTTAAGTGTTCTCTATTGTTACGCTAAATTTTCGAGTGTGTGATTATTCATACTGTTTTCAACATTCAATAAAAGTGCAATATCCACCATTTTCAAGCATTTTTTTTCGTTCATTTAGTGGTTGAGTGAAACACATAAGAGCATGATGTTCGCTAGGGATTTTATTTCAGCCATCTAAAGTTATCTGTATGTCTTCTATGAACACGTTACTGTAGCATATTTCAACTTGCTAGATTAAAAAGCATATAAAATAGGATTTAGATCTTAGAATAAAATCCTCTGAGAAAATTATGATTTTATATTCAGCACTCAAATACTAAATGAACGGAAAAATGCCTGATTATGCTTGATATCTCACATATATCGAATATTAAAGAACTGATGCGCTACAGATTCACGGACGCGTATTCTATCACAAGTCTTAACCTTGGATACTTTTAAATTGGAAAGACTCGAGTCGATCACTGCTATTCATGTTTATATGAGGCGGATAAATATTGAATATTCAACATCTTCCGTAAAGTATAAACAATATTTTTTAAAATGAAAAGTTATAATTAAGCGACTGTGGTTTTGCACTTCCTGCTTTCATCATTAACAAGATAAATGCAACTAAGCCGGTAGTTGAATTTGGTTTTAGATATTGTTATTCTGCAGACAAGAACATATCAAAATCGTTAGATCTAGACGTTAACTCTGAAATATATTTCATATTTCTATAATATCTTATTGTGAAAGAAACAATGTAAATCAATTCTCAAAAAATGACAGAAAGGAAAATAAACATTTTGAATTAAGCATGAATAAAATAGATTTGTCTAGTTGCACGAAAATCGGTAGATAGCATTTATTCTTTGTATGTAGATAAATGTACAGTTTTCACATACTCCAAACTATTAAATGATTAGTAAGTACACATTTTAGTAAAGTGAATTTCTTATTGTTAACTGGGTGATAAGAGTTTAGTGGTTTGGTTTTTACTACTAACCAGTAAGTAGATGTAATGTTAACTCTGATCCAACTGGTATAACAGCTTAATTCATTTAACTAAACATTTAAAAATGAGTGAACAAATCTCCAGCCTTGTTTCATTTAATTGCCTGACAAGGTTAAATTACTCTATCTTTGAACTTTATCACCGAAAACCATCTCATGATATTTCATGTTCAATTCGAGCACGTGATGCGATTCTTCAAGTTATTAGTTACTTTAAAGAGAAAACTTAAAATTCATTTAATATTCAGCATAAAAACTACGTTCATCAGACTTCTGGAATTAATTTATATTTCTACATTGTACTACTTGGTGATATTTTTTATAATATGGCTTTAACCAATTAATTCTCATTCATCACAATAATGAGAAAATGGATAAGCTATTATTCAAAGATTTCATAATATTTATTTTCTGTTGCTAAGACTTTAATATATTGTTTCTTAAAATAAGGCCAGCCATGCATCCACCCTAAGTATATACAGCGAACGCGAATCAAGTTACGCGCATGGCATTCAGATATCTGGAGAAATGCTTATGGCTGTGATTTATGATGATGCATATAATACACTAAGAATCAGTATCAAACAAGCACGTAACCTAGCGATAGCAGATAGAAAACGCAACATAACCAATCCGTAAGTTCAAATTTTCTCACAGTAACTGATGCCCGGGGATTTTTCATGCTATATTTCCCTAGTATTTGTGTTTATTCACCATATTAATTTGAAACCAACCGATCACTAAGTAGAGACTTTTGTTCTGTGTGTCCACTTTGTAGTGCAAGTCTAATTCTATCAACCACGTTGCACTTTGGTCACTAGTCTACATGAATTGCCATTACATACACTGTGTATTGATGACTGAAATAGCTCAGTAGTAAAGTCAGTACCTAACTCTGGCTGACGCGGTTAAGAATCACACTAGGATCTTGGGTTTTATCAAGATCATAGATTAGCCTTGGTGATGAGATCTAGATCTAGAAGTGCATGTGCACTTATTCCAATTAGCAATATTCAGCATGCAGGTTTATCGAATGCATAATGCGTCATGGTGTCCTTCACCTTTGTACAAATAAAGAAAAATCAACCTCTGAGATCTGTTTAAAGTCATCTATCCCAAGATCCATGGGATTATGAATTGCACAATTGGTTCGAATAGTATGAAGTTGACGAAATTATTCTGTTCGAATAGCTCATATACTTTCCTTTATAATATCATGTCTTGGAAACCGAGAAAGTTCTTTTAATAAATTTTGCATCATCTTCTGGAGTATATGCACTCAATTTTATTGTAACATATTTGCTCTCTTCCTTCCTTCTTATTATTATGCAAAACACTAGCTATGTGAAATGCTATTTACTACCAGATCGAACCAAGGGTAGCAAGCGAAAAACATCGTACAAAAAAGCAACATGTAATCCAGTTTATGATGAAGAATTTAAATATCATATACTAAAACAGGATCTAACATTGCGTACACTCCAAGTATCTGTTTGGCATCATAATGCATTGGGTTTGAATTTATTTCTGGGTGAGATTTTTTTACCGCTGACTTTCCATCAGTTTGACCAAGCCTCCCATTGGTATACACTTGGTGAACACGTAAGTTATTTAGTTCATTTTATTTTAGATTTCATTGATCGATTCATCAACAAGTTATGGATTAATTATGATGATACTTTGAGACATAAACTATAAGAAATTCCCCTGTCTTCAATCTTTTTCCGATAACTTTTAAAACAATCTGTCTTGTGATACACTTTAAAAGTACTAAAAGCTTCAGACTACTAATTAGCCCCTCCTAAGACGATTGATGACGAAGCCTTTTTGCTGAAAATGTTTATTTATTACCTATGCATTTGAAGTTAGTGGTAGTACTTTTAGAACAGAACCAAAGGAAGAATTCCAGTCTTATAACTGTTTTCCAAACTGAAAATTATATTATGATACCAGGCAACTACAGGTGCTTCTTTTGGATTTGAAAGAAACACTGTATAGATCGATACACTCCTTTAATATAAGCTGCAGTGTAAGTCTTAACTTTTCCTTATCGTTTTGGCAATAGAAGTCATTGCAGTAGTTCAAAACTTGACATTCATATCACCAGACACACTCATCCGTATTGGAATTACCTTCGTTTCCTTCCAAATCTTCAAAATAAAGTTCATTGGTCACTATTTGGTCAAGATGCTCACTAATGGATGACTCATAAGATCAGAGAATTTCTTAAGAAGCAGGTTCAGAATGATGTCGATCCGTAAATATTTTAATGAATCAAGCAAATTCAAACATGTTGAAACGTTGGTATAATTAAATCTTGATATCCCCCATCAAACTTGAAGAAATGAGAAGTATAACATCAGTTCCTTAGCATATGGAAGACTTATTTAAGCTACAAACATTGAGGTGGGTATTGCCAATAATCCATTCCACAACCATAAGAACGTTAAATGGTCTTCACATATTTGAAGATTTTTTTAAAAGATAAGAGCTTTTGAGTATACAATATATTTAGGAGTTTGATCTTTCGACTTATTAGACAATCAAGCCTTTAAACGCAGGTATGCTAAATGAATCTTAGAAAAATTATTTCATTGCGACGAAAAACCTCAATGCAAAATTAATGTAGTGATACTATGAACTATGTCGATTCAAAAATCCCTTCCTATCTAAAATATCTTTTCCAGTTTGGAGATGTTTTCTTGTGAATCAGTAAAAAGTGATGAGGAAGATGAAGTATAGTCTGGGGTCATATAAATATTTGTAGAATATATATTACTAGTTTTTCAAGTGTTTTGGATGGCATTCTGATGTTAAACAGTCGATAAAGTCGTTTAAAAACCTAAAATAAAAATGGTTAGATTGACACCAGCTCATTTTAATCAACATAAATACACCACCACATTTATCCCTGTTACTGAAACAATATTGATGATGTCTTGAAACCATATAGTGTTACCAAATTGTTATCATGAAGATAATTTAACTAGGACTTTTGAATTTCGGTCAAACCACAATTACTTTATACGTTCGAAGTTTAGAAAAATTTTAGATAGTTATTTTTCCTTGAGTGATTGTAATTCGTCACAACTGTCATATAAGTGAAGTGCAGCAAAGCAATGATACTCTGAGGAAAAACTATTTTTTTAAAAATATATCATGAAAATGGCTAGTCTCAGTAAAATTCAATCACCATCATCATTCTGGGTATATTTACTTTATAACAAACATTGTTCAAATTGGTTTTTGAAATATACTCTACCTAATAGTATTGAATATTGTTATTAAAAGAATAGCAGATATTGACTTCCAGTTCGATAACCAACCAACAAAATGTCCTAATCGATCATCTCTATGCGGTATCACTAAGTTTTCGACCATAGCTAAAACAAAAAAAACATGGATTATCTTTTAAGTGATGAAGAAAATTTTATGATAAGATGCTGAATTGTTGGCATTATTTATTAACAGACGAGATTAGATTATATAAACTTAAGCAAATATGATGGAAATTTAATTACGATTATTGTTATTAATAAAAATGTTTAAAGCCCCGTTATGAACTTTTTTTTATAAAATCCCTCATGAAAGTAACAACTTGAAAATTTTACGTTCTAGGCATTTGTCCATTGTAATTTGATTTCAATTTAGTATATTTTTCAGACTTTTGCCTACGGACAGTTTAATACAACTATTTCTAACAAAATTTAATCCTATAGCGCTTCCTTCCAACGGTATCACACTTACAAATCAGTCGAGGTGAAATAGTTTTAGCCATAAAGCTCGTACCAGGTGAGACAGGGAGTAATCGGGGTGAAATTCATGTGTGGATCAAATCTGCCAGAGGTCTTAGTGCGTCTACTGACGGGATGGCTCTAAAAAAGGATAATGTTGATCCCTATGTAAAAATGTATGTTCACGTAAGAAATTTTCTGGAGTAGTTTTTTTATATTTATTGTTTTGTCATTCAGAGAACTGACAAGAATAATACAATTTATTAATATTCACTTTTCTAAAGCTAACTTATTTCTAGTGTACAAACAAATATAACGATATACACATAGAAAAGATTAATGTTCGGGATTGCATAGTACATCTGAACACATTGGTATGCTCTCAAACGACTTGGTGATAGAGAAAACAAAAGAAATAGAGTAACATTATTATAAATAAAAAAGATGGTAAATAAACATTACAAAATGATTGGATATACACATTTTTATGGATATCAATCTTGATTACATTCAAGTTCATTCTAGCTGATTTAAGCCATTCCATCTTCTACTTCTGACTTCTGGATTTTGTGTGCACATCTTAGAGCCTGTTGTTAGTGGTTCCAAGTTACAGTTCAGTCTTGTATTATATACTGTAAGGGTATGGGTGCTGATTGTTTAAAGCGAATCACCAGAAAGCCTTGGGTCTAAGTTTTGTGTTATTTGGCATCACCGAATAAGATGTGTCCCGATTATCAATGTAGCCTGTACTCTTCATGGGATGCTAAGCTGTCTCACTCGGTATTAATATCAAAGATGCTACTACTGTGTTTTTCAAGCTCTAACTTGTACCTTATGATCGTAAGGTGATTCATCACTGAATAGTAACCAATACCATTTTTGTGAAGTCCTCAAAGTGGATCGAACCTCATTTATCAAACTTCACCTTATCCACTACTCACGTTGACTTAAAATAAAGGAAAATAAGTTTTTCTACATTTTCGGTTGATATTTAGTAGTGACAGAATATGAATTTAATTTATGGAGATAAGCTTTATCTGTTCGGCCATTAATAATTCTGTGTTTATTAGTATTTTTGATTCGGACATATAATATGTTTGAATAGAGAGATGTGATGAAAACAACAATACTTAACCGAAACGCACGAATTTAAAACAGACTTGCCTCCTTCTAGTACTCTAGTATTATCTACTAACAAGTATATTAGTTAACAGCATCTGCAATTATAATGGAAAAACTACTTATTGGTTTAAGCTGACTAGCTCAACAACAAATCAACTATTCAAAGGAATTATTTAAACCTTGTAACAGGATAAATTAAAATCTGAATTACAGCAAAGTTAACCATCATTTTAAAATGTTGACATTCAAACAAGTTGGTTCCTGTTAGTAATACACTCTCCTTTTAAGTTTTATGACGATCGAATAACCGACTAAATTGCGTATTTCATGTTGAATTGGTTCATTCAGTTCATACATAATAAAAATTTTGGTTTTATATGCCCAATCGACAATACAAGCCTTAAGAAATTTTGCTTCTAACACACGATCGTGTCATATCGGATTTCCAGATATATTTTGCCCGGCAAAGAAAAGTATTCGAAACAGAAGACAAAGGTTGTCAGAAGGAATAATAATCCAGAATGGAACCAAGCTATTATATACAGAGACATTATCCTTAATTCTTTAAATGAAATCGGAATAGAAATTTCTGTTTGGGATTACGATCGATTCTCATCGAATGATTTTCTTGGAGGATGTAGAATCAACTGTGGATCACGTACGTTTTTTGACTATCATATATTTACTAACCTCATTAAAAGTTCATAAATAATTTGTACTAAGAATAAAAACCTTTTGTGGTCCTTTCACAACCAACTTCATAAAACATCTTAAAACGTTAGGAGTTCGTCATTCAACTACTTGTAAGTAGTTTGTGTGTGTACACATCACGAAATAAAATAATTTCAAATGTTCGTTTGTGAAGTGATAATCATTCAGCCACATAACGACAAAATTCCAATTTGTCGAAATTGTTCAGGGACTCAGTGAACACAACTTGCTCTTGAGTTAAATACCAGTCGGCACCATATTTTGATGGTAAGCTAAATAATGAATGAATTCATGGATTGATAATTAAATTGATACCAAAATGATAAATATTTTAAGTAATATGACAAGCCAAAGTGTCATCAATGAAAATGCTGGTCAACTGATTAATTATTTAATTGTTTGATTAAAAAGATGAACACAATTTTGTAATATGGTCCACGTCACGGGTCGACTATAACTACCGAGTCATTAGGTGGATCTCAGAATTTAAAATCTTAAGTATTTTTTGTATAAATAACTGTGATGTACCATTCGTACTGTTGCCATTCATAATAACGCTTTTTTCGTTGTTTGTCATATTCAGATAATCAACCATGGTTGGATGCAGTGAATGCTGAAAAATCAGCCTGGTTGGCTATGTGCGAAAGACCAAATATTTGGATTGAAGCAACAATACAATTACGATCCAGCTTAAACTGACCAATCTTCATACTTGAAGGCAAAAATTCAGTGCTTCCATTCTTTCATCAATTCCAGGAAATTTTGATCAATTTCCAATATGAATAAAAATTAGTGGTATTCACATTGTTTGTGTATCAGAACTAAATACTTTCATGGATATGATTTCATTAAGTCTGTTTTTTCATAATATGCGCCTGATGTTTTAATGGTTGCATTTTCATAGAAATACTTAAACTTTTGGTAAATATTTTCTTATGCAATATTCTTACCTTTTCAGTCTTCTTTTTTCTTAATAATTACTAGTGTTATTATTATTGTTATTATAGTAACACTATCACCATCATTATCTAGTTCATTTTTCAATATATTTTGTTACAATGAAAAGAATATTACATATTTGTAATTTACCGCTTTGTAAGGCTTACTGTCCTTTTTATTCTATTGTTTATTATATTCAATAACGCTATGCATGAAAACTAATTATAACAGTGTAATCTTGTGTACAATTTATCATAAAATATAATTAAAATTGGTTGCATTTCTTTTTCTTTTTCCTTATAAAATGTGAAAGTGTGAGATTTTCATGAACATCAAGTTAATTATAGGGTTGCTTAAATTGTCCTTATTTGAAAATTATTCCGTTGTTTATATATGTCAATTTAGATGAAGAAAAATTTGTGATAGAATAGTAATTGTGTGATCTATGCCTTATTATTTGTCAGTTATCAGTGTCCATAATGTAATCATATTGTAACTGCTCATTTTCATTCCCAATTAATAACCTTATCTTCAGGTTGTAGTATTATAATTTCATAAATTTTATTCACTTATTTATTTATTTATTTATGCCTGTTACTCTTCGTGAAGCATGAACCACCGACCAGCATTCTTCAACCTACTCTGTCCTTGGATGTCCTTTTGAGCTGTTGCCAAATGAAATCTATAAATGAGGTCTCGTAATATCTGGGCATAAATATAAAAGATGATTCAAATAGTTATATACACTGAGAATGGTGGACTTTACATTGATCACGTCTTAGATGCCTAGAAAATGCAACATTGATCACTTTAACATGTCTTATAAGAATGGGTAAAGTTGTGAATTATCACCAAAAGAGAAAAGCCATGTTAGTGAGATTCATGAAGTGTAAATTTTATGTGATAAGTAATAATAATAATAATAATAATAATAATAATAATAACTGTAGATTAGGAAAGATGATTGCTTTATTAGAAATGTTTCGTAGAACATATCAGAATAAATGTGTGCATACAAAGAGTTTGGTAATAATATTTTATAATGTATAACTAACAATTAGACTGACATTTAAACCAGAAGTCAGATGATTCTGTAGCTGCCCGGGGTAAACAATAAGGCTAAGTGTATTTCTTCTGAATACAACTCTACTTTCTTTTATGTTATCCATGTGACTTCCATCCTATAAAAGTAGTGTATTCTTGTTCTATAGTGCAAATCATTCAGATATTGGTATATAATCGGACAGACTTTCATTAATTTAATCTGTTCTCAGTATCTACCAGCAGAGAAAGGATGTATTTCAATAAAACTAGAGTACATAGCAGTGTGATATAATGTATAATTTATTCACTTTGTCAGTATATAAGGATATTTGCAATCCTTATCAAATTATCTTTTCTCAGCATGTAAATGAATCGCGAATGATCATTCCCGACTAATTTTCAAAGGGATTTATTTTAAGGTCAAACAATCATTTTCGAACAAATTGTGAATATAAAACTTTCTACAAAACAGAATGGATTTATTGATTTCTTATGGCTTCCTATCTGTTGCAAACATTTTTGAACAGAATCCATAATTTCTTAGAATAAATGGATTGTTACTCTCAGTGAAATACAATGCTGGCATTTTGTCCCATCCTGGACTCATCTTTTGAATATACCTGCCTTCTGGTTTTTACTGCTAGACATGCCTGTTGAAATGGTCATATTAAGGCGTCAATCTCTGATATACATATGACAACGAAAACTGATTAAAACTCACTCCAGATAAGTCGAACTCTTATTAGCAAGTATATTTAATCCCGAATTGTTCACTCAAACTGCTATAGGAGATAGATTCTTAATTCTTAAATTAGAAGAAAAGTAAAACACATTAACCTTATATTCTGGTTTAAAAATCACTTGTAGCTTATGACCTAGATCTTAATAAATAGTTGGGAAGTATGACAGTTTAAGTAATGCACGAAAAGTTTGAAAGAGACTAAAATTCCGATCTATATTATTGCGATCAGGTTTCCAAAACTTATTTGATCGAGTATCTTTCAGCCGTTGATTAATTTATTACTAGAAACGAAATTCCCCTTTTATGACTACTGAGAAGATTCCATGTTATCTCGTTTTTTGTAAATGTTAACTCTTTCTTGTAATGATAACCCCGAGTACAATTTTTATGCTTCGTATTTCTGACTGGTTGTTATCAATTTTAGTGTCGTTGATTTTTCTATGCGTCCCAACGTCACACCTACTTACCATATAAATAGAGTTGTCCTATTTCGATTTTTATTTGTCAGATACTGATTCTCCTTCTTCAATGCTACCTTCTTGTTGAGTTCCATCTTCCGGCGTTGTTTTTGGAGAGTTGTGCGGGTCATTTGTCGACTTAGCAAGTTCACGTTAGATTCCGTTCATATTAGAATAATCTCGAGCGTCCATAGTTAACAGTCACCTTGAACCATACCTCACAAATCCCATGATCCAATAATAACTTGTATTCATAATTTTAGTTTGACTAAATTCGAACCCTGTTTTAATTTAGTCAGTTTAACAATATCTTCAATTCTTGAATTAGTTCACATAAAAACTGGATAACGTTTTTGGGTAGGTGTTTAATTTTAAATATAAAACTTTTTTCACTGTTGTGGTCTACGACAAAAGCTAGATGTATTCACTTGATCCTGGATTCCACTGCTAGCCACTATCCATCTTTGCTTAAAAGCTAAATGATTTTTCAACTTATATTCAACATCGTAACAATAAATAAAAACAAAATAGTTAGCAACTGAGATTTTCAGACGTTCAAAAAAGAAGCCATTAGCTTAGTTAACATTTTAACAAAGAATTTTGAATAAACAGATTTCGATATCGCATTGACAAGTGTCTTACTGTCCTACAAACTGGTTAATATACCCCAAAATATTGAGGCTAGCCAGTTGGAATAATTTTAAGAATAATTGCTTTCGATTCAAATCGCATCATTGTTTTATTAGATGTTAGTGACAAAACATTCCTAACTGTTAACTGACTTGTTGAAATTGTCTTCACTGATAATGTGCTCATCCAAAATCCATTAGTTAAATAGTTTCTTATAAAATTTCGTAGAAGTATCAAAATACCGCGATCATTACTATTAGTAAACATTTGTAAATCACACAGTAATTTGGTGGTATTTTCTATTGAGTAGAATTGGTTCACATTTATTAAGTAATTTCTGGTTATAGTATCAGAATTCTTATGAGATAAATGCATAGGTCAAAGTTTATAAAATAATCCGATTAATCTAATTTTTTACTCTTTAAGGAAAATTGGTTGAAAATTCTTTTATATTCCTTTGAAAGTTGAATTTCAAAAACACATTTAGATCCAGAGCTGAATTCAGAGTAGAACTTGGTGGACTAGTAGACTAAAGATGTTATGAGAGAGTAACTTAACTCATATACTGATGTCTAACTAATAAGCTAAGTAAAACAGGCTTTATAACAACGACCAGAGGGTCATAATGACATTCCCTAGATCATCCAATAATGATGACAATAAATAAATAAAGGTAATTCAACCATGCTATCAAATGACTATTTAGTAATGTACTAGTTATCTAATTCATGTCTCAAAGTAATATGATCTTATAGCAGAAATAAACCATGATAAGATTCATTAACTCAAATTGCATCATATCAGGTTCAAGTCGTAACAAAGTCTTTTACTTTAGGATTTCACAAATATTCTGATGATGCTTTATTTTACCTTTCATCCAAATAATTGTAAATGATTATCATGATAATTTATTAATTCATCGATCACAAATAATTTCGTGTGTAGCACTGAAGATTGTAATTAAAATAAATGTATTACTTACAAATTGAAAAGTAGTTTAAATTTTTTCATAAAATTATTAAACAAACGGACAGCATTTATGGAATCAATATTGAATTTTGCTGTAGTTCGTTCTCTTCACTCAGACTAAATGGCAGCTCACAACTTTAGATAATCACATTATTAACGTAATACAGAAAAATGAATTACCAATTAATAACGAACAAGTAGTTTGGAATGTGAAAGGAGTTAAGGATTTAGGCTTCTACAATGTTTTAATTGTTGCTTATGATGGCTATTCTAAAATACTTAAGATCATTTTATCAAGTGATATGATGACAATATTAAAACGTTTTGCCAGAGAAGAGACATGTGATTTAAAATCACTTCACTGTGATTACAATTAATTAATTCTACACTGCACCATTGGTTCTATGTAAATTTGTGACGGAAGTCCATTACAATGTCTTAAAATCTGAGGAAGAATTATAATAAAACAACGATTAAACTAGATAAAGCCTTGGAGTTTTGTCAACAAACAAATCTGAACATTTATGAAAAACTGTGAGGATTCTAGATCTGAGCAAACTCATAGCAGGAAATTCAGATGAAGTCAAAACCAAAGTATTGGAAAATCATGTAATCAAACAACTTAGAGAACTGAAAATCAGGATGATTAGTCATACTACATGTAACGTGTTCAGTTAGGTTAGATTACATAAATCTAATATATCAACCAGAGTTATTTTTCTTATGGTTGATATTCTGTAACATAAATTAGCTCGATGCTTATCTAGCAAACTAGAAATAATTATTAAAAAAATTGGGCGAATAGACTAGATAAATATCCTAAATACACTTATGGTTGCGTACAACATATTTTCATTATTTTAACAATACTCCTTTTAAAGAAACAATTGGCATTATTAGCCAATACTTATTTAACTAAGGGATGGTCATTTGAACTTGTAGAAATTCATACCGCATTCTTCAGTACTAGGTTTCATTATGAAGAACAAAGGCATAAAAATGATCATGTTAGTTAGTTTAATGGAATTGAGTTGAAATTAATAAGACAAATGTATTATGTTTAATTTCATGTTGCGTCGTGGATACTTTATACTAATTAATAACAAAGTAGGGATACAGGACGGTTCTATCACCTCTAGTTTTTAATAGTTTTCTGATTATTTTTAATTTGTAATAAAAATCTATATCCTACTTAAGTAGCTTCTTGAAACAATATTTAAATAATTATTTATGTATGAAGAAAACTGGAATGAAATAGCTTTTTATAAATTTCATTGATTAAACTTATTCTATTCGCCTATTTGTATTTTGTATACCTTCCAACAACAACAAAAACGTACAGACATCAAAAGAAAAATGATTTTGCCGATATTTAATGGGAAAATTTCGTAGACAAAAGTGAAAAACATCCATAAATCCGTTTGAGTATTCCACTT